GAAGACGATATGAGCTTGGGCCGCTGGTTGCGCAAAACACTACCGGGAATATATACGAAGAGCAAGAGTATTGCGGATAGATGTCGGGTATTCGTGGACGCAGAGCTGACCACTCTGGTACTACAATTGTACTACTAATAGATGCTACGAGTAGTAACGACTACCCCCAGCTCCAGCTGCACTAAGTACTATATAATTCAATACTCTTTTGATTTTGAAGTCGAGTAAAGTATAATACTTGAGAAGCTGTATAAGCAACTAGACATTTTATGGGATACTAGTAACTAAGAACTGGACCTTTGGAGTACTCCTACTCTCTCCGAATTTTCAGAAGAAACGGCGCCGAGGTAATGACTTTGGCAGTGGATACAGTGGGATACTCAGCTCGGACAGATGCATAGACAACTTGCTCAAGTTCGTCGAAGATTATGGCCAGTCACACTCACAGTCTATCTTTGCTCCACGGCGACGACCTAGTCCTAGGGTCCGTATGCTTTTTTCAGATACAGATTGAGACAGTACTTCTAGTTCTAAAAGAATTGTGCGCTTTGGTATTGTACTAGGATCACTCTCACTTCTCACTCTCAGAGTTGCGACGCTCTAACGTCAGGAAGGGAATTTCTCAGGCACGACTGGAAAGAGCTCTTCACTGCTATACGGGATGATTATGGCTATTGTCGAAGTCCAGCGACAACGATTCTCATGAAATATAGTTGATCTTGATTCTTTTTCTTCTTTTTTTTCAATTCCAGAAAAATACAAAAAGGTATTCCAGTTCATCTTTGTCTTCGCTCATTTCATTGTCAACATGTTGAATTAGCGAAAGATGGAAATGCTTACCATGAGGCGGTCTCCGTTGCTCTGTGTAAGAATTGCTCCAAACTTGACCAGGGAGTGTTAGAGGTGAAGTAATAAGTGACCATGGCCAAAGATGACAACTGTACTCTCGCCACAAAATTTGATACGCACGCGGTAGCAGCTCTATCTCTAACAAGGACAGGCAGGAGATGCCCGATTCCGACGCACAAGAGCATCAAAAGGGAGCCGGGCGGTGGTAGTAATACCTTCCTGGTGTCGTGGGTTTGGATTTTACTCGGTGATAATAGATCAGCAGAAAGCTCAAGACTCGGAAGGGAATTTCAATTCCACTGACCACTCCGGTCACTCTTATACCATGATGGATGAGTGTGTTCATCTTCATACATGATTGAAATATGAACAGGTGCGGCCATCGTCTCCCGAAATTATTCACAACGACGCACAACTACTCACAGCGTTGGTGTGGTAAGCATATTATTGTGCATGTGGTGATACCAGCATTGCTTTCGCAAGTGGGAGACGTACAGTCACGCGATAACGGGAAACCAAGCATGTTTGATGCTGTCGGCGAGCAATGTACTAGCATTAGCGCCGATCCGTGTGGTGGAGCGCATCACAATCCTACTACTTGATAAAGCTATAATTTGTAGTCTGGAATTCGATCAACATTCATTAATCAACTTGTTCTTCATGATCTACTTTTTGTTCTACTTATAGCTCCTGAACTTGAAGTAGACAGGACGAACGACTATAAGCCATATGACAAAAATTCTGACAATATTGACATATATCACTACCTACAGATCCAGACGGCTCACCTGAGACCGATACTATTGAAGGCGAAGACTTTGCTGAGGTACCGAATTCGTTGATATCCGTGGCTCCAAGTGGCAAGGTTTCGAGCTTCACAGAAAGAGAAGCCGCGGAAACACCGTTTCCTGCTGATGGTCATATGGCAGGCTATAACTTAATGTAGTAGTCTCACTTGTTCTGGTTCCGCGAGATCCTGACCACCTCCTACTCAAGATAGCAGCTAGACGACGGCCTCTAAAGATAGGAGTCATAGGTTGAAGATGTCACCACTGCTTACTCTGATTGCCTACACTGTTACTCGTCACTTCCCTTCTTCATAAGTTTTTTCAATTTACGCAGGGACGTTGTCGCAGACTTGAGAGATATCATTGTTGTCGCGCATCAACAACAGGACGAAGTGGTGAATGGAGTAGTGGCAAAATTAGAAGAGGTATTTTCTGACAAAGTTTCTTCAGAAAACCTACAGCAGATTAGAGCATCCCATCAAGAACAAATGAAGGAGTTGCGTCAGGATGTAAAAGAATTTTTACAACTACAGCAGACAGTAATATCCCAGAAAATACGGGAGTTGTGTCAAAAAGTAGAAAAAGTTTTCGAACGAGTGGAGCAACATCAGCAACAGCAGAAAGCACAACCAGCGGCGTCGGCGGGAGAACAGAAAGTTAAGTACAAGCAGGACTCCTGACACTAGAAGAGCTAAATCACCCGCCGCTGCAAATCGATATGAAAAGCACTGCTAGGCACAATGACGGTGTCCCCTTTGTGCCTCGCGGTACACTAGCGAAAATACTGAGAGCACCGAACATCTATACCTCTAGTCTTACTTGTTGAATGTCAAAAGCTTGACCAAGGCGACCTAAGTTTGCACTTGGACTGACGAGTCAAAGTCTGTAGCAGTGTGTAACGGTGGCGACATCTCGTCTGCTGACAACACTACCAGGCGCTTAGAAGTGCTGCGCGTCTGTAATATTTTTAATTTCCTTCCATTTCTTTGATGGGCCGGACTTCTTCCTTTTTCATGGGTATTAAGCTAACACAGTGAGACTTCTAATGTTGGTGCTGCAGCTGGAGGCACAACCGGCGGGAGAAACCAGCCCGACGTGATCTCGGACCGGACTGGGGAAACGAAGAAGAGCGCCGCGCCCAGGCTCCGCCCCCTCGGTTCCACTATGGAAGAGTACTGAGTACATTTTTGCAGGCTGACAGTAGATTGATTCTCGTTAGTGTCTTCCAGTAGTGTCCAGCTGTCCTTCTGTCCAGCTGTCCTTCTGTCCAGCTGGCCCCCTGTCCAGCTGTCTTGTCGTCGAGCTGTCCTCCTGTCCAGCTCGCTGCCCTTCTGTCCCGCTGTCCTTCCGTCTGATGGTCTTGCCTCCTGTCCACCTGTCTTTGTCCTTCTGTCCGTCCAGCTGTCCCCTTGTCCAGCTGTCCTCCCGTCAGTCCACGCCGCATTTTGACGCAAAACACTCGCACAGGCTCACTGGATGCGCTATGGGCTTTTGGGGTAGCGTGCAAAGAGTCGCCCAGCCTGGAGCCCATTAGCTACTAGAGTCAAGTCCCAGGCGCTTTCGCGTGGTGGTGGGTTTTTGGATGTGCCGGAGGTCCGCGCTCTTGGTTTGCTCGCCGAGTGTTGCGCCTTGCTTGCTGCGATGGAGTGGCAATTGTCCACGGTGTCCCCGTGTCCACGGTGTCCACGGTGTCCCCCTGCCCTCCCACGGTGTCCCCCTGTCCTTCCACGGTGTCCCCCTGTCCACGATGTTCCTCTGTCTATGGTGTCCCTCTGTCCATGCATGGTGTCCCGCTGTCTGTCTTCGGGGGCCGGCGCCCCTCTGTCTTCGGTGTCGCTCTGTCTTCGGTGTCCTTAGGCCTTCGCTGTCCCTCTGTCTGCGGCGTCCGCTGTCCTCGGTGTCACTCTGTCCGCGGTGTCTCTCCGGTGTCTTTCTGTCTTCGGTGTCCCTCTGTCTTCGGTGTCCCTCTGTCCTCGGTGTCTTTCTGTCTTCGGTGTCCTTCTGTCTTCGGTGTCTTTCGTTCTGTCCTCGGTGTCCCCTCCATCTGCTTTCGGATTCGGTGTCCTTCTGTCGTCGTTCTTGTCCCTCTCTCTGTCCTCGCGAGCCGGCGCTTCCCCTCTGTCCGCGGTGTCTTTCTGTCTTCCGTGTCTCTACGCTGAACCGCTTCGAAGCAGAGGTTGGGCTTTATTTTTAAAAACGGCACAGGGGAGGCCGGGAGGGTTTTCTATTAGTTCTCTCTGGTTGGTGGCGGGCTCGTGGTTGGAGTAGGTTGGGAAGGAGTTCAGGCCGGCTCTTGGTCTTGTGTCTGGCGTGTGTGCGGGGCAGGGGTCTTGGAGGCGCTGGGGAGGGTGGCCTGGCCTTGTTTGGCTTGCTTGCTCTTGCTCGAGTCGCTCTCGGGGTTTGCTGCTGCGCTGGGCCTGGTGTGTTGCTCTGGGGCCGGCTCGATCGTCTTCGTGAAGGTTTGCCTTCAGTTTCGACGGAGCTCGCCTGCGTAGGCTGCACTGCTGCGGTTGTCTCTCTGTCTTCGGTGTCACTCTGTCTCCGGTGTCCCTCTGTCTTCGGTGTCCCTCTGTCTGTCTTCATCGGTGTCCCTCTGTCTTCGGTGTCCCACCCTCTGTCTTCGGTGTCCTTCTGTCTCCGGTGTCACTCTGTCTTCGGTGTCCCTCTGCTTTCGGTGTCCTTCTGTCTTCGGTGTCCCTCTGTCTTCGGTGTCCCTCTGCCCTCGGTGTCGCTCTGTACTCGGTGCCCCTCTGTCTTCGGTGCCCCTCTGGCTTCGGTGCCACTCTGTCTTCGGTGTCCCTCTGTCTCCGGTGTCTCTCTCTCTGTCCTCGGTGTCCCTGGCTCTGTCCCCGGTGTCCCTCTGCCTTCGGTGTCTCTCTGTCGTTGGTGTCCCTCTGTCTCCGCGTCGTCTCTCTGGCTGTCTCTAGGAAGCGTGTCGGGCTGTGGGGCTCTGCTGCTGCTCTCTCTTTGGGGTCGGTCTTCTTCTCCTCTCCTCCTGATGGTGGCACAGGACTCGGGTCGCCTTTTTCTTCTGCTTAGTTATTGTTGCTTCTTTCATGCTCAAAAACCACGAGTCTCCTGCCCCTCTAGGTTCCTCGAGCGCAGCACAGACGAGCAGGCTTGGCAAATTGCACAGCTTCGTGAAGATCTTTCCGAGCCTGCGGAGGCTGACTAGAAGCAAGGGGTGTATATATGAGCGTGCTCAAATGAAGAGGAGAGCGCGGCAGCTGCGCTGAAAGTGTAGTGTCACAGAGTAAATTAGCCGTGGGTATTTAGTTGATAAGTCACAAGTGAAGCGAAGCGTCCGCATGATTTAATATGAGCAACGGCGCAGGGCCTAACTGTATCCCCTTCCTACTTCCATCATGTTCGTATGCCTCATTCAATTCCCTCGAGCGAGTTGCGAGAGATTCGAGCGCGACTGAGAGAAAGGGAAGGAGGAACGGCGCACACCAAAAGTAGGCGCGTGCGAAAGGGCAACATCTCTTCACTGTTTCAGGTGCGTAGCGACGCCTCCCCTTTGTTTCTGAGCTATCACTCCGCGCCCGCGTTGCGGCCTCCCTGGTGGCCACGTCGTCTCGCGCTTCAACTTTGGGTCTTTCGTCTCCAAAATTAGCTTCAGCGAGTCGGCCTCCACTAGGCACTCCTTGTTGCGGAAAGAGACGGGGCCACACTTGTGGCGCCTGCATTCATTGCCCTCTAGGGCGCAGGTGACAGCAGCACTACTGCGCTTTTTCGCGCCGTGAATACATGGCGACGCCCTTCACGGCAATCGTGTGGACAGGGTGGCAGCAGGCGCTATATCAATAATATAATGCCAGGCTTGCTACCTTATAGCTTGCTTCTGTAGTTTGTCTACTTAGATGGTTAACATGTCTTGCGTCTGTTTTAAATGTTGATCAGTTTTGTGCAGTGCAGTGATAAATCACAAGCGAAGCGACGCGTCAGCTTGATCTATATTATTATCAATGGCGCAGAGCCTAACTGCATCCCCTTGCTACTTCCATCATGTTCGTGCGCCTCATTCAATTCTCTCGAGCGAGTTGCGAGAGATTCGAGCGTGAGAGAAAGGGCAGGAGGAACGGCGCACACCAAAAATAAGCGCGCGTGAAAGGGCGACACCTTTTCCCGACCCTTCAAGTGAGTACGCTACTCCCAAGCCGAAGCAAATGGACTGCTCCCGTTCCGTCTTTGTCACCTTAATGATAGCACTTAACTGCTACGCTGACCCCTATCATCTAACTTCTACGCTTCCTCATGTCAGTCGCCTTATAACTCTTGCACCATTCTCGCGCCATCGGTAACGCTCTTCACTTTAAAAATAATTGATCACTCTCAAAGATGAACGCGCCCCCACTTTCTCCGACGAGATTGCACGAGGAGCAAGGGCATAGATACCAGCCTACGCCAATTGGTTCAACTCAAGAGGAAAAGGGAGAAGCTAGAAAAGAAGACCTTCACTAACAGCGTCGCGCCATCGTCATCACCTAACACGGCCTCCACCAATAACCCCGCTGCTGATCACATCAGTACAACGCCAAGGAGAACTACGACAGTAACAAGTCCCCGGGCGAGCTCCGTGCCGAGGCGTGCGAGCTCACTCGGGAGAACGAGCACGGCAGTGCGTCCGTGAACTTGGTAGCCAATCCGCCACGGTTCAAAAAGGCCTTTTTTGACGCTGTTGCTTTTTCGAGGGCGTCCGTGCTAAAGCTAAACGCGACGCCCAGGCGCAGGCCATGGCCACTTTTGCCGCTCAGTTCACGGCAGCAGCTGCAGAGGCGCCATCTCACTTACACGCATGAAGGCGCTAAAATTTCTCACGGCTTTAGTAGGAGACCAAGAAAAGGGCTCGCACTCTCCTGCTGGCGGCTACTTTTTCAGCGTGCTTGGTCGATTAAAGTGCCCCGGGGGTAGTTCCCTGGTCGCAGAGGCTGACTCTGCTGAGATTCGGAGTCGCGTCACCAGGCTGCGACGTCACGGGAAGTCTGCTCATGGGCCTGCTCTTGGGTTACTTCTGGAAGAAGTTGCCGACGTAGTTCAATACGATCACGATTTTGCCGCAGTGGGTGCTTAGTGCTGCTCTCTTCTTCGGTGTCAGACGTGCAACCCCATTCGTGTTGACCAAATTTGGCGGCCTTGCGTTGCTGACGGGTTTCGTCTGGATTGCGATGGTCTTTCCGACGGTAGCGGCGCTCTTTGCGACTCTGCTGACCCTCCCGAGCTAGCTTATCTTGTGAGTGAGTTTATCCCATCAGGCAAGAACGTCTATACTGAGTTTTCGGGTGATTTCGAGCACAACTCTAGAGGCAAGAGCTTCGCGCTCGATCTCTCTCCTTACATAATATGGCGCCCCAACTTCCAAAAGGGGATCCTCGTGCGATGCCTCTGCTTGGAAAAGGGTCGAACTTTTGGGAAACTATGCCGCACAAGACCACTCCGCCTTTAGCTTTAGCCGCGGGCGGATCATGGGAGGGCGATTGCCTGGACAGTTTGGAGCTGCGTTCTCGATTATGAAAACGACAAGGATGGGCTGCAGCATTTGATAGGTTGCGACTTAGCTTACCGGAAGCTAGGGCTCCGCCCCATTTACGACGGATGAAGGACAGCGTGGCTCCGTACGACAATCGCGGCAATGTGTACAGTGGGCCACTCCCGCTCCAATGGGTCTGAACCTTATCCCGCTCCAATTCAAGGCTGTGCGTCGTCTATCTTTCACCCGTCGGGCTTCAACTAATCTCCCCCATGTCCATAACAGAACTCAGCTAGCGAGGCGCCATAGCGTGGCGAGTCAGTGCGCCATCGCACTTTTTCGACCTGCGGCGCAAGTCTGCCGGAGCTTGGTTGGGAATATTATCGCTGAGCAAAGCGCCGCCTGTCTCTGAGTGTGGGCGAGCAGCTCTCTGAGGGCAAAAATAGCCTCTGGGCGCAGCTTCACAAACCACAAAAACTGACGCCGCCCCCTCTTTGCTTGCAGTAAAGGGGTCCTGGTGGTTGTAGGTGCGTTGGTTAATTGTTGACAACCCTACAGAATTCGTCTCCTTTCTCACGTTCTTCACTTATTTCCTTCACCGTTATCACGTGGCCCCGTGTTTATTTCGCCTTTATTCCGTTCATGTAGTTCTTCTACTCCCTTCTGATTCAGATAAGTTTCGCAGCCTCCTCTTCGGAGCAAACGAAGCGCGATGGCTGACCCAGCAAACTTGCAACAGCCATTAGCTGACGCTGTCCAGCAGGTGGGCGCGGAGATAGCGAATCACCGCAGTGCCATCAACATTGCTCCTCGCATTCACCGACCCCCAGACGTGAAGGACTCTCGGCGAGTCAGCGACGCCGTTCGTCGCCACAAGCCGCAAGGCAGTCTGGAGACACTGCGCGGCCCCAAGGTGAAGCACTACAAGGATGACAGAGTAGAAACGCCCACCGAGTCCGTGCTCTACTACCTAGCAGGTGCTGGGCGCGAAGGAAGCCCGTTGCCTCAAGTCAATGATAGTCAACTCGCCAGGGCCATCAGTCTCCCCATGAAAAATCCGCGACGTTCTCGAAAAATATGAGGACAGTCGCGACGAGTGGGAGGATACGGCCAGGAAGGCTTGGCGGGACTCCTTCTGCAGTGCAGAAGTGCATGCTCTTGATCGCGCTCTTCCTAATGGTGGAGGTCAAACAACCTCCCCGAACAGATTGGCCGGCTTCATCGTCGGCACCTTTGAGACGGACGGCAGCAGCAACGCCACGACTATCGAGCACACGCACAGCACTAGCATGAACAGCATGGGCGTCGTCTCGCTTTGTCTTCCGTGGACTAACAACAACAGCGACAAAGGGAGAAAGAACAAGAAGGAGAAAGATGACGATGGCAACTACAGTAGTCGCGCCCCCAAGGTTTGCTGGCACTACTGCAAAGGCACCCCGTGCAAGAGCGACGCGCTTAATAAAAGTGGCTGCGTCCACTGTCAGCGGGGGCTTCACCCTCGTCAGGGTGAACTGTCTGAGCAAGTCAGACGGCGAAAATGTCCGCCGTTTTTCGCTGGCGAAGAAGGCACTTGCTGGCCTGGGTTTCGAGTCTTGGCGCAAGAGCAAGGGTAAGCAGAAGAAGTCCAAGAAGGACAAAGCGGAGGACGATGACGACAAAGAGCGCAGTAGTTCTTCTAAGTCCCGTCTTCCACGCCGCTACACAGTGGCTATAGTTTGCTCAAGAATAGAGCATAACTATCAGGCTGCAGCTTTCTTATATTCCCGAAGATTTCTAGTCTGTCAGTCTGTCAACAGTAAAGATTTACTTTCGTCACAATGATCAGTGCCGTCTTCGTTGTCTATCAATTACTCTCTGACTATACTGTTACTTTTTTGCTATCGTTTTTATTTTGCGTACCTATTTCCCTTCCAATTTGTAGGGCATTATAATTAGCGACCGAGCCGCCGCTTTAATTCATCGCTTCCGCTTTCTCGTTATTATGGTGCTTCTTGTTAGCAGTAGTCTGTAGTCCCATTTTGCGTGCTAAAACGCGGGGGCGGGGCCCAAACCTCGCGCGAAAACGCTTAGGAACTGGGTTGGCCCTCGATTTAGCACAAATTTAGCATCATGTGCGCGACCACATGCAAGACCACAAAAAAGGCCCCGCGGCTGCCGGGTTCTCGCGGGCCTTTGTTGGTTTGGCTCTTGGTCATGCCAGGAGAGGCGCTAGCGGTGGAAGGGGCGCTCGGCTTGGCTCTGTGGCTGCTTCTTGGACTTGCCTGGTCTCTCTGCTGAGGTATTCGCGCCGTGGTGGGTGGTGGTTTCTTGGGTTGTGTTCTCGCTTTCGAAGGTCGCCCAAGCCGTGAAGCGTTGTCAGGTGAGCAGTGCGGCGGAGGGGGGCACGTCGGCAGGGTCTTCGGGTGTAGGCAAATTGCTGAGAGGAGGCGCCGAGGCTTTTGCAGTTGTTGCAGGTTCCCAATCCATGCCCAGGCTGCCCCCGTTGGTTCTGGTGTGCGTGTCAGTGCGGGCGGTACTTTGGCTGGTGGTAGGGACGGGCTCTTGGGTTGGTTCTTTTGGCGGTTGTTGGGGGGCCGTGGGGTGGGCGGGGCGGCGGGCGTGCGCCTGGTAAGTTTTGGCGCTTTGCCGCAAATTTACCAGCTTTTTAGCAGATGACGCAGGCGGCTGGCCTCTGCCTGATAGCCGCAGGCCGCCAGGGGCCTGGCCCTTGTGCTGTCCCACCGATCGACTCCGCCAGACAGTTGCCGCGTAGGGAAGGGGCCGGGCATGCGGGGCCACGCAGTGGCGGGGGAAGCGCGTGCAGAGGGTGGAAGATTTTAGTGGGGTGAGTGCTACCAGGCGCTTAAGTCTAGCGTCAGAAGATCAACCTGAGACAGATGCTGATGATGTTCGTGAAGAGAACAAAAGACCACGACCGTGGGGCACAGGACTAGTATTGGAGATGAGGCTTACTAAAAATCCAAATTCAGTCTCCGCAGGACTCTCCTTTCTCAGGAGGAACAAGTTTGTTAAAGCATCTTCACATCCTTGGTACTACATATGATGCTATAGCTCTTGCTACAAGTTGTAGGCTGTCAGGCAAGATAGCAACAGGGACGCATGCATGCTAAGCCATCTTCTTCACATCTGCATGAGCATTTACTACAGTCACACTAGCAAGAACATCGGTAATTTCCACTGATGACTTTCAAGAGCAACTTCGACATGAGTTGTTTGAGAGATCGCAGCAGTCACTTCTTGTGAGGAGAAGTGCTCCTCTTGTACTAATCACACATAGAGGACACGATATGATGATGGCAGTACTTAAGTACTCAAAAAACGTAGGACACCTGTGAGATTTCACTTCAGAGTCGAGCGATTTCGTGTGAAGAAAAGCACATCTGGTGGAAGAGAAGACGGATAATGTTTGTCAAAACGCTGGTGGTCGTGGTCCTCAACCTCCTCACAAGTACAAGAGCACGATTTTTTCTAGGTCTCGTAGTATGTCGAACTTGATTATAATTATCAACAAGAGCTTGGCCTGAGAATCCTTGTGATAACAATAAGCGGAAGAGAAAGTACTTCTTGTTCTTGTAAGAGTAGGCTGTACGTAGTAGTTCTATTTGTTCCATTCTAGATCTAGTTGTTCCAGTATATCAAGTAGCTTCTCTTGCTGCTATGGTTGTGGTCCTAAAAAAGATGAGGAATGACCGTTTTCGAACAACTCCGAGTCTCTCACTACAAGAACGACAAAGACAAAGTGTGGACGAGGCTTTTACCCAGAACAAGTACACGACGAAGTCTGGGACTTCCTTGTTGTGCTGTAGCTAAGTTGTATGGTACAAGCCGTACTAGCTTCTAGCTCTTGCTTCTATCTAGAACTACGTTGTCAGACGGAGACTACTAACAGAGGAAGTGCAAAGTTGCTCATGATCAAAAAAGAAGAGGTCGCAAGATCACGAAAAACATTGCGGGAACCGGAATGGGACCAGTCAGGACGTGAATAGTACATATAAGAAGCAAAACCAAAGGCACCTCAACATTCTTTTTCATTTTCTTGTAGAACTAAGATAGAACTTCTACTTCTACCTCAGCCTCGTGACGTGGTCTTTCAAAGTCCTCCTGAGAGGACGAGGAGATGCTCCTGCTACCGATGATGCCTGATGAAAGTCGTTGGCTCAGAGAATTTCTCATCTTGTAGAGGGAGAACGATCTTCTATAGAAGGGCTTGAACTTGAAGAGCATTATTGTACCAGTCCTCAACAGAAGATGGAGTGAAGAACCCAACTCGGACACTAGGAAAGAACACCGTGACCGCTCTAGGGAGTTGTTTGCCCTCACGACTACGTATCTAATCTAACAGCGACCTGTGACGACGTATAACTTTTGTACGAGCACTAGGAGCTGGACGAGCGCCATCATTTCAGCGACGAGGTGGTGGGTCTGTTGTGTTCCTACTTGTTCAGATGAAGAGCAGAACCGCCATGAGGACCAGAACTTCTTCTACGAAAGAAAGAACTCAATCTTCATGCGTACCAGAGGTCGTCTAGTAGAACAACCATAAGGACATGATCTAAATCTACCACATCTACTACTACTTTTTCACGCACATGCGTGGTTCAGGATCAGGACATCATCTACCGTAAGACGAACTACCTCAATTACTTCTTCTTCATGCGTGATCTAGAACAACCGTAACCCCTGGTCCCACCACCTTCGCGGCAAAAATGGTGCCGCAGCCAAGCCCAAGTAGTGGCGCTGGGAATGTCACTGCTCGTACTGTTGTTAAGGCATAGATTTTGGCACTATCAAGGACATATGCGAAAAATAGAAATAATCGACGAGTTACTGACTGAAATAAGGGGCGTAGCTTTCACAAGGCTACTCTTCCTCTTTCAGTATGATCTCGGTTGATATAGATATTCTTGTCTGTAGTTCGTTCTTGCTTAAGTCAGTTTATCGAATATAGAGGTCAACTTGTTCAGCCCCGAACCCCA